TGGGCCAATGCACCTTTTGTCCTTCTCCTATCAGTAAGATGAACAAAATATGCAAGAGAACACATCCATGACGAAATGATAAAACTCTCATCAAGGGACTTTACTACCAATGTAGCATATATCTTTGAATCGTCCTTGGTTAGATGCTCATGAGAATCAAATGCATTTTATGAAAAGATAAAGTCAACTTCAGGGTTAAACGAGTTCATCAAATAATAGTTAACTTCATTCCCATCAATCATGTAAAACARAATATTCTCATTCCTAGAATCTATCTCAACCTTAGGATCATCAAGCACATCTCCTAGGCAAGAATTTTCAAGAAGAGAACTAGATTCTTCAAGCATTGAAAACTTGAACTCGAGATCATGAACACTTAAAGCACACAAATGATTGATATCAAAACATACTTCATGATAATCTTTAGCAAGCTTTTCTAGTCTTAAAGCATCTAGTCTTTCAGTCTCACATATCAAATCCTAACATTCATCAATAAGCACGAGAGTCTGCAAACTAGAAACTACATCTTCAATGCAAGGCATGTGACTATCCTCATTATCATGAAATTCAAAGGATGTGTCGTATGTACCTTCTGTTGGCATGGTGAAACCCAGTATATTACCTCTTCAAGATCATGAGCTACCATGATCTCAGAAAACGTGAGTTCTTTTCCTTCAAGTGCTGCTCGATTTGAGATGAGATTCAACCGGATCATAGCGGCTAGGTCTTTCCTTGTCAAGGTTGGGTTTTCTTTGTAAAGCTTTTCTAACTCCACTCTCTGCTCTTGTGTAAGCACACTCTCATCAAATGGTGGCTCCACATAAGGCTCATCTTGAATGTATTCTTCGAATATGTCTTCCTCCTCTTCAAGTTCATCCTTGTAATCCATGACCATCAACTATAAGTACCTATACAAAAGAAAATAAAAATAAAAATTAGTGTCTTAGACTAAATTTTACACCCACATTTGAAGGCAATGTAATTGGTCCCCGACAACAGCGCCAAAAACTTGATAACTTAGGTTTTAATCCTATCAA